GTGTGTGTGGGTGTGTGTGTGTGTGTGTGTGTGTGTGTGTGTGTGTGTGTGTGTGTGTGTGTGTGTGTGTGTGTGTGTGTGTGTGTTAATCCGCCGTAGTTTGACTCATGATGTGTTACGACCCCAGAGAGGCCCTCATTAGGACCAAAAAACGTTGTGTGACCTTTTAGCAGATTCACCTCCCTACGTCCTCCCCAGCTGGGTCCAATTACCTCGCTCATTAGTACTGTCTCTACTTTAAAGAGTCCTCTCCTGCTGATGTTCAGGTGTATATCAGTGTGTAGTGTCTCTACTTTAAAGAGTCCTCTCCTGCTGATGTTCAGGTGTATATCAGTATGTAGTCTCTCTACTTTAAAGAGTCCTCTCCTGCTGATGTTCAGGTGTATATCAGTATGTAGTGTCTCTACTTTAAAGAGTCCTCTCCTGCTGATGTTCAGGTGTATATCAGTATGTAGTGTCTCTACTTTAAAGAGTCCTCTCCTGCTGATGTTCAGGTGTATATCAGTATGTAGTGTCTCTACTTTAAAGAGTCCTCTCCTGCTGATGTTCAGGTGTATATCAGTATGTAGAGTCTCTACTTTAAAGAGTCCTCTCCTGCTGATGTTCAGGTGTATATCAGTATGTAGTGTCTCTACTTTAAAGAGTCCTCTCCTGCTGATGTTCAGGTGTATATCAGTATGTAGTGTCTCTAATTTAAAGAGTCCTCTCCTGCTGATGTTCAGGTGTATATCAGTATGTAGTGTCTCTACTTTAAAGAGTCCTCTCCTGCTGATGTCCAGGTGTATATCAGTATGTAGTGTCTCTACTTTAAAGAGTCCTCTCCTGCTGATGTTCAGGTGTATATCAGTATGTAGTATCTCTACTTTAAAGAGTCCTCTCCTGCTGATGTTCAGGTGTATATCAGTATGTAGTGTCTCTACTTTAAAGAGTCCTCTCCTGCTGATGTTCAGGTGTATATCAGTATGTAGTGTCTCTACTTTAAAGAGTCCTCTCCTGCTGATGTTCAGGTGTATATCAGTATGTAGTGTCTCTACTTTAAAGAGTCCTCTCCTGCTGATGTTCAGGTGTATATCAGTATGTAGTGTCTCTACTTTAAAGAGTCCTCTCCTGCTGATGTTCAGGTGTATATCAGTATGTAGTGTCTCTACTTTAAAGAGTCCTCTCCTGCTGATGTTCAGGTGTATATCAGTATGTAGTGTCTCTACTTTAAAGAGTCCTCTCCTGCTGATGTTCAGGTGTATATCAGTATGTAGTGTCTCTACTTTAAAGAGTCCTCTCCTGATGATGTTCAGGTGTATATCAGTATGTAGTGTCTCTACTTTAAAGAGTCCTCTCCTGCTGATGTTCAGGTGTATATCAGTATGTAGTCTCTCTACTTTAAAGAGTCCTCTCCTGCTGATGTTCAGGTGTATATCAGTATGTAGTGTCTCTACTTTAAAGAGTCCTCTCCTGCTGATGTTCAGGTGTATATCAGTATGTAGTGTCTCTACTTTAAAGAGTCCTCTCCTGCTGATGTTCAGGTGTATATCAGTATGTAGTGTCTCTACTTTAAAGAGTCCTCTCCTGCTGATGTTCAGGGTGTATATCAGTATGTAGTGTCTCTACTTTAAAGAGTCCTCTCCTGCTGATGTTCAGGTGTATATCAGTATGTAGTGTCTCTACTTTAAAGAGTCCTCTCCTGATGATGTTCAGGTGTATATCAGTATGTAGTGTCTCTACTTTAAAGAGTCCTCTCCTGCTGATGTTCAGGTGTATATCAGTATGTAGTCTCTCTACTTTAAAGAGTCCTCTCCTGCTGATGTTCAGGTGTATATCAGTATGTAGTGTCTCTACTTTAAAGAGTCCTCTCCTGCTGATGTTCAGGTGTATATCAGTATGTAGTGTCTCTACTTTAAAGAGTCCTCTCCTGCTGATGTTCAGGTGTATATCAGTATGTAGTGTCTCTACTTTAAAGAGTCCTCTCCTGCTGATGTTCAGGTGTATATCAGTATGTAGTGTCTCTACTTTAAAGAGTCCTCTCCTGCTGATGTTCAGGTGTATATCAGTATGTAGTGTCTCTGCTTTAAAGAGTCCTCTCCTGCTGATGTTCAGGTGTATATCAGTATGTAGTGTCTCTACTTTAAAGAGTCCTCTCCTGCTGATGTTCAGGTGTATATCAGTATGTAGTGTCTCTACTTTAAAGAGTCCTCTCCTGCTGATGTTCAGGTGTATATCAGTATGTAGTGTCTCTACTTTAAAGAGTCCTCTCCTGCTGATGTTCAGGTGTATATCAGTATGTAGTGTCTCTACTACATTTTGACTAAAATGTAATGATCTTTCATCGACTAAAACTGGACTAAAACTAATAACCATTTTCATCTAAATCTAAAATAGCTGCCAAAATGAACACTGACGCAGGGAGACGGATGATTATCCTAAAAGTAGCGTGCTTGATTAGACGGGATGCTGCATACATTGTGGACTGAGTGGACTCATCGGGATAGAAATACTAATTAAAAAGAACCTCGGAGCAAGAGGTTAGTTCAGCTCTTCGGGTCATTTGCATAGCCTTCATCTGGGGAAATGGGATTTAAAGCACCTCCTCGTCTTCTTCACATGCTAACCAACTCAATTCAAAGGACGCTTGTTGCACTCTTAATTTGGCATAATCTATTAAGGCCTCCTTTGATTTTGTTTTTCAATAAAAATGTCTCGATCAAGAGAGTCGGTGAGATGTGTGATCTTGAGCGATGGATATTTAACAGCGTCTCACTTTGGGGGTAATTTGCATGAGAATGTATTTTTTTCTTTCCGTGAACAAAGCTCTGGAAATAGCATGCCATATTTGATTAGATCAATAGATGAGAGGATCAAACTCGGCTGGTGTATTAATCACTGCAGGAACAAAGGCAGGAGTTTCTGTGTGAGGAGAATCCACAATTCACTTCCTCTGCTGCAGCAACATGGAGATAACACGCATTATTTATCGGTAAACTTTTAATATAAACACGTTTAAATATCTCAACTTCTCTTGGATGGATTGTCTTGAAATGTGGGCCGGACATTCATTCAGTTTCCAGAGGTTGCACCCTGGTTTGAAGATCCCTTGGCTTTCCCTTCCTCTAACATGCATTTCAATAAAACCATGACAGAAAAAGTATCTGCAAAACATTCCCATCAGCCAGAGCTGTCCTGAGTCCCAAAGCCCAGTACTGAGTCCCAAAACCCAGGAATGAGTCCCAAAACCCAGTAATGAGTCCCTAAAGTCCCAAAACCCAGTAGTGAGTCCCAAAACCCAGTACTGAGTCCCAAAACCCAGTAATGAGTCCCAAAACCCAGTTCCAAAACCCAGTAATGAGTCCCAAAACCCAGGAATGAGTCCCAAAACCCAGTTCCAAAAACCCAGTACTGAGTCCCAAAACCCAGTAATGAGTCCCAAAACCCAGGAATGAGTCCCAAAAGTCCCAAAACCCAGTAATGAGTCCCAAAACCCAGTTCCAAAACCCAGTAATGAGTCCCAAAACCCAGTACTGAGTCCCAAAACCCAGTTCCAAAAACCCAGTACTGAGTCCCAAAACCCAGTAATGAGTCCCAAAACCCAGGAATGAGTCCCAAAAGTCCCAAAACCCAGTAATGAGTCCCAAAACCCAGTTCCAAAACCCAGTAATGAGTCCCAAAACCCAGTACTGAGTCCCAAAACCCAGTTCCAAAACCCAGTAATGAGTCCCAAAACCCAGTACTGAGTCCCAAAACCCAGTTCCAAAACCCAGTAATGAGTCCCAAAACCTAGTACTGAGTCCCAAAACCCAGTAATGAGTCCCAAAACCCAGTTATGAGTCCCAAAACCTAGTTCCAAAACCCAGTTATGAGTCCCAAAACCCAGGAATGAGTCCCAAAACCCAGTAATGAGTTCCAAAACCCAGGAATGAGTCCCAAAACCCAGGAATGAGTCCCAAAACCCAGGAATGAGTCCCAAAACTCAGTAATGAGTCATAAAACCCAGTAATGAGTCATAAAACCCAGGAATGAGTCCCAGTACTGAGTCCCAAAACCCAGTACTGAGTCCCAAAACCCAGTAATGAGTCCCAAAACCCAGGAATGAGTCCCAAAACCCAGTAATGAGTCATAAAACCCAGGAATGAGTCCCAGTACTGAGTCCCAAAACCCAGTAATGAGTCATAAAACCCAGGAATGAGTCCCAGTACTGAGTCCCAAAACCCAGTAATGAGTCCCAAAACCCAGTTCCAAAACCCAGTAATGAGTCCCAAAACCCAGGAATGAGTCCCAAAACCCAGTAATGAGTCATAAAACCCAGTTATGAGTCCCAAAACCCAGTCCCAAAACCCAGTTATGAGTCCCAAAACCCAGTAATGAGTTCCAAAACCCAGTAAGGAGTCATAAAACCCAGTTATGAGTCCCAAAACCCAGTCCCAAAACCCAGTCCTGAAACCCAGTAATTAGTCCCAAACCCAGTAATGAGTTACTACTTCCTGTCCCTTGGTCTGGAAGTCAATGGTTATCTGAATGTGTTTTTGGTTGTTAGCCTGAAATCACTCTGTGTGTTTAGATAAGCTATCATTAGCATGCTTCAACGCTTAATGGTGAACATGGCAAAGACTACACATGCTAATTCTTCATTTATACTCATGCAAACTTATGGAAGCTAATGCTAGGGCATGCTATTTGGTAACGGCAAGAAATATGATTTGTTAGCATGGAAATCTGATTAAAAAACAACTATTATAGGCGTGCTACCCACACAACACGTCATTCATCTGTGAAAACACAAACAGCCGCCAGCTGTCAGACGTTTTCTCATATCAATGATTTTCTGTGTGTGTGTGTTGGTGTGTGTGAGTGTGTGGGAAAGCTGGTCATTTCTATATGACCAGTTTGACATCTGACTCATGTCGTTACGTCCACTCCATCATCTCTGGGTTCCTCTGTCCACTTGTTTGTCCTCAGGAAGTGAAATGTCTGCTCCTCTGTCATCTCAACACCTATGCTTTCTCTTTCTGCAGTGCAACAGAAGCAGCAGCTGGAGAAGGAAACGGGCCTGAAGATAGTGGAGGCCGGAGTCAGTGATGTAAGTGTCAACCCCTACAGCTATATGTGTGTGTGTGTGTGTGTGTGTGTGTGTGTGTGTGTGTGCAAAATAGTGTTTGCTGGTGTGCAATCCTGTGGAGAGTGGGAAATAGTAGAGGGCCCTAAAAGTCGATTCACCCAAGCACAACCATGTTTTTTTATGGCTTTAATTGGTCTAGTTTTTTAAATGGATGCTTGTATAAATATATTTTACTGCAAAATTATAATTTTTTTGTTGATAATCCAGAAAAAGTGAAATTGTAGACTCCTCCATAGGGTGTTGTGTCCGCCTTAACACATGTATCTATGGAAATAATGCTCAAAATGTCACCAAATGTGGACTAGATGTTCACAGAGAGGCAATAAAGCAAATATTGAATTGATACCTTTAATAACTGTTGTCATATATACACTTAAACACACAGTGTGTAGCCTTTGCAGACCATTTACATGCACTAAAATCTCTATAACACACTACAGGAGAGGAAAAAAGCATAAAAGTGCTCTTAAATTGAACATTTTGATTGGAAAAAAATCCAAGAATACGTTCCAAATATCAACAAAACAATAATTCTGCAGTGAAATATTCTTATGCAACCATCCATTAAAAAAACTGGACGTATTAACGTGATAAAAAGCCTTTTTTGGGGGTGTGTTCCTACACTTTAAGCGTTGTCTTGGCATCAAACCTGCAGCCAAACACTGATCTGAAGCAGAAAACACACACATACCTTTTCAAGAGTTTCCCTTTGATTACCCTTCACTCTTATACACAAGTCCTTTACGTTTCCATGGCAAATAAAACACAACAACACACTGCTGTTTTTGTCATACAGTTAAACACACAGTGGGTAGCCTTTGCAGACCATTTACAAGCACTAAAACTAAACTAAAATACCAAATATCAACCAAAACAATTATTCTGCAGTGAAATATTCTTATGCAACCATCCATTTAAAAAACTGGACGTATTAACGTAATAAAAGCCCTTTTTTGGGGGTATTTCTCCACGTTAAGCCTCTCTGATCCACCTTGTCTTGGCATCAAACCTGCAGCCAAACACACACACACACACACACACACACACACACACACATACACACACACACACACACACACACACACACACACACACACACACACACACACACACACACACACACCTGTTCAAGTGTTTTCTTTTGATTACCCTTCACTCTTAAGTCCTTTACGTTTCCATGGCAAATGAAACACAACACGACACACTGCTGTTCGGTGCAATTTAAAGGAAGTGTTTTAGGAACAATAACACAGATTATGTGGAGAGTTAATGCTCCTCTGACATACTTCCCCCGGATGAATTAAGAGCAGCACACTCAGAAAGACCCACATGAAAGCAGAGTGAACGTGTTTTCATTGAACACTGATAAATATTCATATGTATCAGCGGTGAGGATCTAATCAAGCACCCATTGAAGCGTCATCGCCCGCTAAGTGAGTTTCTCTATGGAAATGAGACAGAGTCTGATCATGATGCATGCTGGGAGCTAAATGGATGTGCTTTAGAGGGTTACACTGAAAAAACAAACCTATAATATATGAGGTCTTTTCACATTACCTTGCCTTCCTTTCAGTGTACTCTTTTTGTACCCTTTAAAAGCTTATTTGAATAACCTTTGGCTCCCCTGTTGCCGCCCAAACATCAGATGATTTGGCTCAGTGTGAAATCCATCTAGGTCTGTTCACACTGCTAGTAATCCCCAATGTTTAGAAGTGCAACAGTAATCTGATTACATCTTTTTTGTATACGAATACAGTGTCTTTTTGTGTCCCGATCCCGTTATCCCGTTGGACAGTTGCTATTGGAAACACCACAGATCATTTCCCCGTCTCTCTTTTGGTGTCACTGCCTTTCTTCGCCCATCTGCCTCCCACTTATATATCTCTTTTAGCCCTCTCATCTCATTGTGTCTTCATCACCATCGTCTCCATTATTTCCGTGACTTTTTGTCCCGTCTCCTTTGTCTGCCTCGCCTCCTTTTATGCTCTTTTATTCCCACTCAGACTGTATTCCTGCGCTGGTGCAGAGGGTTGTGTTTTTTGTCATATCGGGCCTATTTGTAGATAATTAGCTGCAATAATAGCCTCTCTGCAGGAGCCAGGAAGAGGGGGAGGGAAAGATGTGTCTTCCACCTCATGGGGAGAGAAACTCTACGCCAGACTGTGCTTTTAGAAATGCGTGTCGGAGGAAACTGTACGATAAATAAAGCACATTTCGCTCAGAGGGCTCTAATGTGCATGTGTGTGATTGCAGGTAAAATAGTGGCTTGTGACAGGAGAGCTTGTGGAGTGGGCTCGTCAAATACATTACTTTAAAAAGTGTTAAACCAAAAAGCAAGCTCTCAGAAACGGGTTTATTACCATTGACACGTAGGAGGAATTTGACTTGATGTCGTGGTGCATGCATACATAAAAAATATATAAATATGTATATCAGTGGAGGGAAATGAAGCTTTTCAAAGACACTATTCCCTTCAGTGTGGTCGCTATCGCTAAGTCTTATCTCTGACACCTCCCCCCCCCCCCATTTTTATTTAAGAGGTGACAAATGACAAAACAGCTTAGCAAGATGTCCAGATAGAAGATGTCGATATAGCGCTACGAGGATAAGCAAATGTCAAAGTGGGGGAAGGAGACATCGATCAATGGGTCGAGCAATATCTACTCCTCTATGGATCGCAGGAAAATACAACATTTCTGCATAATGTGTTGGGGGGGGGTTTGAGCAATGTATTTCTTATTAACAGCTGAGTGGGAGATGTGGAAATGGAGGTCGTCTCACAGCAATTTGTGCGTCCTGTAAATGTGTGAGAAGGGGGAATGTGTCCCTCAAATAGCATCGTTCATATACGTGCATAAGGATCTGCAACCGTGCATTGAAGACAGCAACAGGGCAAAAGATATGCTTTATGTTTGACACAGCAAGGCGTAAAAAGGAGGCTCATTGAGAGGTTCTTAAGAAAGGGGAGGGGCTAGTCTGTCCTATGGTTTAGGAACAATTTAGCCAAAATTAATCCAAAGTATTTTGCTCTCCACAAATACAAGAATGAACATAATCAAAAAGTACTCAAACAGTACGTTAAAATTGACTGGACTTTTTCTGCGGATTAATATGACTGCACATAGACCCCTTTGATCCTCCTTAGCAACGGTCTGTTCTCCTTAGCAACAGCCTGTTAGTGAGAAAATTAACAGACCGTCAGGAAGTCCAAATTGACCAATCAGAATGTCAAACAAGACGTGTCATAAGAAGGTATAAATGATTAGCAGAAGCTGTCCTGTGGATTTAAAATGAAATGAACAAAAATATATAACATTGATTTCTGAGACAACAAAGCTCCAAGCTTAGTAAATAGAGTCAAACCCCCCCCATAAACCTGCTTAATTAACACTTACATTGCCTAATGCCTTGCAAAACACCTTGAACTGCACATCTGTAAGAACCAATGTTTAAGTATTCCCAGATTTCCGATTACACGGCGATATGGATGCGGAAAAATATTATTATTATTACATGTTACTTGTTAGACGCTTTTATCCAAAGCGACTTACAGACTCAATACTGTGACAATCCCCACAGGAGCACTTTGGGGTGAAGTGTCTCAGGGACACAACGACATGCTGACTGCAGTGGGGTTTGAACCCCCTGATCCGAACACCAACGCACTATTCCACTGCGCCACACGCCTCCATCTCCACATTACACATTATGCTTATATGTATTATATTATCTGTGATGATAATCGGCGGTTAAATTGAGATTCATTGACATTTTGACAGCGGTCTTATGGTGGAGAGGTTCTCTTTAAACATTGCATGTCAACTGATTATTCAACCACTAAATGTAAATCATATATGGCTGTGTGTGTGTGTGTGTGTGTGTGTGTGTGTGTGTGTGCGTGCGTGCGTGCGTGCGTGCGTGCGTGCGTGCGTGCGTGCGTGCGTGCGTGCGTGCGTGCGTGCGTGCGTGCGTGCGTGCGTGCGTGCGTGCGTGCGTGCGTGCGTGCAGTAAGGCCAGTCTGTGTGTCTATAGTACATAATGTTGGGTTTCAATCGTCAGAAAGTCACTGGTTTTCTCCTGGATCTCTACACTATTGCTCATATCCGTTTATTATCCCGTCATGAGGCAATCAGTCATTCTAAAAAGGAAAAACTCATCTCACAGAAAGGTCACATCTCATAACGGACCTTCACTTTCTTTATATATATACTGTGCCATAATTAATGCAAGTGAACATTTATTTCCAACATACTGTCTTGCTTCCCTATAGAGGCCATTTGAGGGGCTTCCCTCTCCTGTAGTGTGTTATATGAAGGTTTTAGTGCATGTAGGGGAATACAGTTACCTTTTTTTGTATCCTGATCACTCATTGTAATCCATTACTCACAAAGCCACAGTATTGGGTTGATCGTCCCCTACCTTCTCATCAAAGCACTTCTGCTTCAGGCGTGATCACATTAAATTAGCATTTTGTTTTGGCGGAAAACACAATTTCACATAAATATTTATTCCCCCCATTTTTCACATCATGGTTGTCGGAGTCGGAGAAAATCAGTGCATTTTTTTCCCGCTTTTCCTTTAATCTAACAAAGCACATATAGCACTTAACAACAAACACCATGTGCAACCATCAGCGATGCAATTCCTCGGGACAAATCATTTCAGAGCGACTTCAAAGGAAAAGCGCCCTGACCATTTCCTACCAGAGAGAGCAGACAGAAATATATATATATATAATATAAATAAGTATGATAAGAGTTGTACAAATTGATCTTGAAACGGCTCGGGTATATGCTTTACTTCAAATCATATTTCCCCACGGTGCGTTTTCAAGTAACAAGATGAGAATTTTTATGTTAATATTCTCCTTTAAGTGTCAGAAAGTGACTTTGGCTTGGCGTACTTCCCATTCTTAGTGCATACGTGTGTATAAAATCAATTCTACATCAATTGCCTCTTCC